GCTTAATGCTGATTCTATTTATGTCGACTCTAGCTATACAGTGTCACTCCATGGAAACAGAAATTCCTCCAAATCACATATAACTTTGCACATGATGTGAGTATACAAACACCACACTATCTACATGCATTGCTTTACTTTACGGCTCTGTAAATCCCTAATAATGTCCAAAGAGGTTCCCTTTAAAAAGCCATATCATTTGGCATTAAGTATCTGTAAAATAGAGACAGGCTTTAATTGGTACACTTCCAATTAATTAATTTGAATTAATTTCTGAACTAGCTTGACCGAGACTCAGCTGAACATGCAAAAATGTGCATTTGACTTTTCCCTAAAATAAGTTCCAAATTATATTAAAATAATATTAGTAAATTGTCAGTAAATACCAGATCCAAAATACAAAAAACAACCTTTCAACTGTAGCCCCCAGATAAAGCATAATTAATTATTGCAGGTCCACGAACAGCGTGTGGGTACGACAATGTGGAGCCACCAAGGGACGTTTATGCACCAACCACACAGAGACAGAGCTCTATGGTGGACAGAGTTCATCAACAAAGGTACATAATGTTGATCGTGATTCATCATATAAACAAAACAGATTTCCTTTTTTGTGGTCATTTTGTACCACTTGTATGTGAAAGTAGAATTATCATTCATCAAAACCTATTTTCCCAAGAGTGACTTTCTGCAAATGACTTAAGGACTCATTACATTCTTTATACATTTCTCTTAGGGGACTCATCACCTGTGGTCGGTGCCCTTGTTGTCCTTCCAGGACGTCACCTATCTCTTCCGTGTCTCTCTGTCTGTGAGTAAACTTGGCCGCCAAAGTATGACAAGCTTTCTGAGGCTGTAGACGCTGCGTGGTTCCTCTGTTGTCAATTGCTGCCAATGACTTTTATCTCCTCTTGCTTTCCGTTGACAGAGTGAAGTGAGCTGTGCCACTGAAGGAGAAACCTCATCATACTCTGACTACCATTTTCTCATTCAAAGCAGCTGTGTGTGAGAAGGAAGACGATGTGTCCCAGGGCCATTACAATACACCACATTTTCAGTTTGTGGTTCCATTTGTACGCTGTTGTGATGGGATATGGTTTTGTTTCATTATTGTACATTATTTTTTAAAGATATTGATACAGAACAAGCTATACCACATTCCCTACTGCAATCCCCTCCATATGTCTATGCATCTCTTTTTGCTGTGGTCACTGGATTTCTTTTTCTGTCACTGAAAATGTTTTCGATCACTGTAATTGACGACTATGTTGTGTCGCTGTTAATTGAGTCCATGAGTTTTAAACTCATTTAATTGATGATCACCAAGTCTATACTCAATACAAGCCATACTAACTTTTTAACAGAATTCAAGTTTCTAAATGAAGCCCAGGCTAAGATACTTTAGTTGACTCTCACACATTTTTGTCGCTTTTTTCAATTCAGTGAATCTGTATGTACACTGAAACCAGTGTCAACAGAAAACAAAAACACGTTTTATACACTGGAGAGAATATCATCGACTTCTGCTGAAGGCTTCAGTGAATGGTTGCAACTTGCACTGAATATATACCTCAGTAGTGCACACTAGCAAATCCTGGGTCTCTACAGTGGAGCATTGTGTTTGAGGCTGCTGCAGTCGACTAGACTGTCTGCTGTCTCCTCATGCAACATCTGACTAAACACTGCACAGAGAAGGAAATGCTGTGCAGTGTTTCTTTCTCAATTGTGACATTGAATTAAACATCGAACTGTTACATTAAATGTGTATGCATGTGCATACTATCACACAGAAAGCCTTATTATCATTCCTAAAATGAAGTCATAGTAATTTCAGCAGATTCACTGGAAGATAAGACTGGATAAGTAAACAAATCACTGGAAATGAAAACGTAGAAACACTGACAGCTCTTAGCATCTGATAGTGGAAATGCAACAAGTTCAACACTGACAATATTTCAAGAAACACTGGAATAGCTTACACTGTATTTTGCTAACTGGACAGAATGCTGGCAAAGCAATAAATGGCATAAATCATTTCAGGTGCATGCCCAATCATTTCTTCAAAATGATACATCTCCGCTCTGAGGCAACTCAAATGCTGCTTCAGCTATGGAAATTATATTTTAATGGCATCAAGCTGAGAGGGAGTTGCATTTCTGTATGCACACTGCAGAGGTAGAATTGGATATTATACACTGGACTGTTTTGTGTATTTCTCTGGATGTTTTGAATACTTTTCCTGTGCCTATACAATTAAGAATATGCAGTGATAACACCGTGAGTATAACTGATTTGTATGATGTTTCCTTTTTTACTATATTTTCTTGTTTTAAAGTCATTCTCCACTTACTCTCACCACCATGCTCCTGTTACTTTTGTTAAAACTTGTTTTCAAATCCACATTTCATATGTGTCTGTATTCAGAAAGAAAAAAACATAATAGTGTATCTCAAATGTAAAATCAATATTAAATAGGAAACAGCCATCAGACAAAAGTTTATGGAATTTATCATAATATTAAGAAACTGTACAATGCTTTCAGTATAATTATGATGACTTCAGTGGGTATAGTGTGATATTTTAGCTTATTTATAACGCACCAGCTAGCATAATGAAACCACTGTAGCACTTTTTGCACTGTATATATGAACTGCTTTTGCTCTATCCAGTGCACCAGACTGTTTTCAATACTCTGGTAGAACTGCATTATATGTAACTGTATAGCTTCATTTTGTTACTACCAATGCTCCTTTTTATCTGATGTGTTTTATCATATTGTTTTTATAGTTGATATTTTTGTGGGTTGTTGTATTATTAATAATATATTAACGTTTAGCTAATGGAGCCCAGAAATGATTGACAAGCAAGTAAACACACACACACACACACACCAATACATTTCTAATTTTAGCACTATTCGTCATGAAAATATGCCATAACACTAAAACTTGAGTACTTTAATATCACTACTTTTATCTTTTTAGCCCAATTTATCATTACATTTTCAAAGCTTCATGTCAAAGTATAAAAAAAATACCCTGTAATACCATGTAAATGCATGTAGTAAATAAATTTGTGATTGAATTTTCTGTTGTGTTTGCCAAACTCCTTCATGAGCTGAAACCAGATTGCTCATTCTGTCCATTAGATGGCAGCCGAAGATGTATTAACAGTCGATGAGCTGTCAGACATTTAGGATTATTCCGACAGATTGAAAACGATTATAGGACGGTTATTGTCTGGTTCATCCGTGGTGATGAATAACTAGAGTCTATAGTTTGTTAACGTTGAGAGCATGACTCATGTGTTATCAGACTCAGTAATAAGTAGCGTGTCTTTGTTACGATTGGACAGAAATTCGCATGCGAGCCACGTGACCTGTACGTCACGAAAATAACCAGGAAGTGATAGTCAGTACGTGGCCTTATCATCATTTTGGACCACAGAGAGAAGATCTCCCCTTCATTGCAAAATGGTAGAATCTTTTTCTCGTTTATATAGGTTCAGACTGTAATATATATATATTGTAATATACAATGATATGCTGTTCATTTGTGCGCGTTATTCACTATTTAACTAGCTAAACAGTGCGTTGTCTGTGTTAAAGTACGCTTTGTGTAGCTACGTGTTTGCAGACTAGCAGAGCAACGTTAGCTTCTCATGTCAAATTCACAGATTGAGCCGCTCTATTTAAAGAGAAATAAACGGATTAAACGCTATATACGCGGTACATTATGGGAGGAAGTATAACTAGTTATCGGGGTGATGTAACGTACGCTTGTCTTAACCTGCTTGTATCTAAACTCCTCGCTGTGGCTGCAGGAACTCGAGGCTATGACCAGATACACCAGCCCGGTGAACCCGGCTGTGTTCCCCCATCTCACTGTCGTCCTTCTGGCCATCGGCATGTTCTTCACTGCCTGGTTCTTCGTGTATCCTTTATCAATAACACTGTGTATGTGATTAACGTGAAATAAGGGGTCATACCAGACACCGTTAGGGTACTACAACCCTGCAGGCACCCACTGGTCTCCACTCATTTGAGTAAATGTGTAATCTAAATGATTAAGCAGGTTTGTTACTATTGTGACTTGCATTCATAAGTCAGCTGTCACTTCAATTGCTAAACAATGTTTTAAACAAGCCCAAACTTGGCCATAATTAGGTGAATGATACAATTGTTTCCCGAAACTGTCCATTGAGAACATCTAAACATGTCACAGAGTTACTTCCTGCTTCAGCTTTGGCCTCAGGGACATGGGGTGTCCACGCAGTAAATTAAGGGGTTATTAAAAATTAAGTGTTTTCACAGTTGTATTTTCAAATAAAGTAACTCCACTCAGGAGGCAATACTCAGAACCTGGCTGTTGGTTGTGCTGTTTTTATGAGCTGACCCTTAACTTCTCATCAGCTACGAGGTAACATCAACAAAATACACCAGAGACGTCTACAAAGAGCTGCTGATCTCCTTGGTGGCTTCCCTTTTCATGGGCTTTGGTGTGCTGTTCTTACTACTCTGGGTTGGCATCTATGTATAAAGGTACGTTTAACATCTTATTTAGGTCCAGTGGGTTTTATTTGTTTTGTTTTGTGGTGGTTAACTTTGTTTCCTCTCGTCTCCTGCAGCTTCCTGTGACTGACTTAAAACAATACGACACATTCCGTTGGACGAAGGACATCACAAACAACATGGACTCGATTTAATTTGACTGCACTGACATTTTGGGATCTTATGGACTCTGGGTTTCTTGTCACGAGTAAAGGGGATTTGTATAACTTTTAGTGTCTTTCTTTGTTCAACCTGATATCTTAAACAATTGTAATAATCCATGGATCACATAGATTTGAACTATTGTTAAAATGTTGATAAACAATATTGAGACGAGACCTGAAGTTCACTGGAACTTGACCTGCTGGCTTGTTGAGATTAGAAGGTTATTTTGACGCACTGAAAACTATTTTTGGTGCGTTTCACTAGTGGCACCTAAAAGCCAAATCCCTGATTAATCTTTGTTAAAAATAGAGCAGTCTGTTTCACCGTGTCTACGGGATAATACTGACTATCCTAGTGATGAAGGATTACACCGGGATTAGAGAAGGATTATTTAATAAAAACAGCGGGAACACTATTCAAAGATTCCAACTAAAAGACAACTGGATTCACATGAAATTGGCTTATTAAAATTACATCAACCATGTAAACAGCATACTAACCTTACATAAGGCAAAACAAGTCAACATGTTTCCTCCTTTGTGGGGGAATAACAGAACATTTCCAACAAAATTATTACTACATGTTCTACAAATGGAGCATTAGCATAGATCAAAACAAACATCCCATCTACTTCTTCCAATGTGTTACATTCTGTCTGCAATTCAAATTGATTTACAAAGGCCACGTAGAATTAACAGACAATCCCGCTTAATGCAATACTACTGTGGTTGAGTTACCTGCCATTGTAAACCATTTAACCAATTGCTTGATTGGCTACGAAAAGCCAGTCAACGCAAACTGGTTGAGACTTAGCTTGTTTCTTTTAGACATAAGAATACCCTAAAATTCAGAATAGCTGATGATGATGCGGTTATGTCAGAAGATCCTTTCTTCGCAGATCCTTTTACATCTCTCTTAAAAACTCAAAACTCCTTTTCACTGACGACCTCGGGCAAAGGCGTCCCGAAGCCACAGAGAGTCCACATACAGCCTCGGGTCTCCCATGTACTCTGCTGTTCGTTTGTATAAGTAGTAATACATCACTGCCACTGTTGACAGAAAGAAGTACAGTTACATAAAATAGATTAGTTGCGATGGAAAATGCACTTCTGAATTAATCCACCGATTACCTGTTCTCTGGAAAACAAAAAGGGCTTGAAGACCATCTGTCCAAACGAAACGGTCTGACTCTAACCATCTAAGGTTCTGGGGAGAAAGATAATACTCATCGGGTATAGATCCACATTTACTCTGATATAAGATTACATTGTATCAATATTTTACTTAGATGTTAAAATGTGAGAGATTTGACGATTTGGTGTGACGAAAGCTTACCAACACCCAGCAGTGGAAGCAGATGCTGAGCGTCAGGTAAAGAGCGGAGAACACCAGCAGAGCCCTGAACCTCTCCAGCAGCAGGGACACCAGGCCCACCTGGAACACGTAGGTGTTGAACATCATCAGCAGAATGATGATCCCGTTGAACAAGATGGCGATGTCCTGGATGCTGGAGACACACAGTACTGGTTTATTTCTAATAGTGGTTTCTGATGGTGTGAACAACACACAAAAAAAATACATGTGACCATGTCAGAGAGAGGGATATTGTGCAAGACTTGTACGTTACCAGGTTTCTAAACAAAGATCTTATATCTACAATTAATGAAATGAAACCCTGTAAGGCTGCTGACGACTCACAAGAGTTAGCTCTAGTTATGACAAGGCTTCACTCACTGACCAGGACATTTTGTAATGACAGTTAATGGGATATAAATGGTTGGTCTACATGTTAGAAGGTGTATCCAGAGAGTGTCAGATATGTTTACTTGATAATGACTTGAACAAGCTAACCCGGTGTGGTTGAGTGACTTACATGAAAAGCACTAGTTGGATAACAGCCGCTCCTCTCAGGAGTTCACTGAAGGAGTTGACGAAGAGGTCATAGGCCAACAGTGTCAGCTGGATCAGCAGCACCAGTGAGTAGTTACCAGCCTGGAGCATCTTCAGGGGCTGATCCTGCAGACCACCACACCTCGCAGTCTATTCTCCTCCTCGCTTATCTTCACACGTGCTAAACGCAGGGACTTAATGGTGACACAGGTCTGGATTCAGCCCCTACATATTTGAGTTAAAAAAAACAAAGTAGGCTTCACAATGTGTCCATTCACATAGTAAGAAACGGGTTGCTTTTGTCCTTAAATGTTCTGTTGCTTTAGGTTTTCTTCAGTCCAGGTTGTCCCTCTGTTCATAAACATGTTGGTTGTTGTCCTGCAGCCAGTCCAAGATAGCAGATTCAATGTTTGAGATCTTTTCATATGTTGCATGTTAGAGTCTCCTTGTCTGCTGCATTTCTTGTGAGGAAAAACAGAGAAGCTGTAAAATAAACAACAACACAGACGCTGTTAGGTATACTGCTACATAACATACTTATTAGGCTGTTACACAGGCAAGCATGGAAAGGTCAAAACTGGGATTACAGATTAATTTCCCCTAACGTTACGCGAACACCACTAACTCTTTGTTTCTTTCTTTCCACGCACCTAACGTTGTCTATGGCGGTAGTTATGTAGTCCGGGCATCAGATAATCCTGCAGACAGATAATATAGTTACGACTAACTGTTTTAGAAATTTAATTTCCACAACAAATCACTCGTCTGGCAGTGTGCACAGCTCGGATTTTAACTTCGAGGAACTCCCTCCAGACACGTTTGCTAAATTAAGCATCACAACACAGACCTCGCTGTGCTCACTGTTGTATAAATCGACTTCACAAACACAATATAACACCTACTAACCGGAATATAACGTGTGAGGAATGAAACTAAGTCACCCGGAGCATAGAAGAACCGCTATATTGCTCACATTCCTACTTTTATCGGCAGACGATGCTAACTTACCCACTTGGAGCGTCATCTGCTACTTTTCAGCTGTATTTCCGTCAATTCCATGGTAACGCTCCTTCTTACCGTAATAGTAGACGTAGAGGTTCAGTGAATATTCATCAAATATATGTATAGAGTTCACGGTATATTTTGTTGTATTTATTGCAATTACTCTGTTATTTCCTCACCGTGACTAAACGTAGGTGCCGTGTGAATGTGAAAACAAGTAGTGAACATTTGGGAGGGAGAAACTGTTGGTCTTGAATTCAAGGGCTACATGGGACATTACGGTAAGGTTTCATCACATCCGATGCTTACTGCCACCTAGCGGCCGACGTGAGTAGTACGTGATTAAAGTACTGTGAGCTGATCAAAGGTAGTGGACACCTGCGCCCAGGACTCTGTGGGTGAGTAGTGAAAGTTTCTACAACTTCGATGATTTGATATGAAATACAGTAATGCAAGTCATATAGAAACATCAAGGCGTTTATGTTCACTTTCTCCGCTGTGACGCATATAACGACCACGACTAACGGGTGTGTGGGGTTTTGTTCTTCAATAATACATGTGGGCAGATTGTTACGTTACTTCATTCTCTTGGTTTTGTTGCTACAATGCTTCAGAGTTGGTCGCATGTGAGCCGTTTCATTCACTTCAGGTTTCTGAGCTGAGTTTCAGGCAAAGTTTTTTGGTACAGTCGCAAACGCTTATCTGCATTTCACAAAGTATGACTGTCATATGTTGACATTTCTCAGAAAGCGTAACGTTAGTCTCTCTGTGACGTGTAGTATGAGTTTGACTGACAGTTTTGAAGCCGATAACATGTAAGTTACCTTTTGTGAGAGATTGCTTCACACACACCAACCTTGTTAAATTTAGGTGTGTAAGTTTGTTTGACCTTTGGCGCGGCTGTTTGCTGACTGGCAAATACAAAATCCTTAACATATAACGTTTACATAGCCTATTATCTGGGATTCCACCATATCTCTCATGCTATAAGGATGCTTTCATGGATCATATTCAAGACGCTTTACAAGCTATTATCAGTACATGTTTTTAGGTTTTAGTTTTATGATCATAGATTGCATGACTGGAGGGATACCAAGGAGAGGTAGGGTAATATCTAATTAACACTGAAACAGATTTCAATTCAGAGTATAAATATCTTTGTTTCTAATTCTATTAAATTAAAACATGTATGATTTATGCTGATATGATCTTCCTGTGTAATAGAGATGCCATCTAACCCGCAGACTGCTGGTATCTGTCATAAATCACAGCTTTATAAATGTTCATGGAGAAACTGAGCCATATTTTCTCTGTAGTCCTTAAGAGTCAAATTAGTTTGAAATTGTGGTATTTCTAACAATGCAAACAACTGCAAATGTTTTATTTGCATCTCCTCTCTGCTGGCAATCCGCCCTCCCCTTCGAGTACACAGAAACTCTTCTCACATGATACCATCCTGTTTTTTTACCCTCGACACATCCTGGTGCTCAGGCATGGCGCTCCTAGCACTGACATCGCATCACATTTATTCATGTTTGTCCTCTTCTAAATAAACACTCAGGGCAACTGTGACGCATGAAGCTAAGCATTATATGTTATTATGTTTTACCTTGCCTCGGGATAATAACAGGGCTTCGTATTGGATTCCTCCAACAGTGTTCAAATCTTTTTGAGTGTAAACATGTCAGCCACCTGATCACAGCAGCTGTAGATAATGTGCACAGTCACAGCTTGTTCTGCACCTCATGTTTGACAAGGGAGGACCTACAGGGCCAGCTTCTCAAAGTGTCCTTTAATTCATACTGGTTCATCAAGAAAGTGAAAATCAATGTCTCAGACCGGTGGTATTCAGAAATAGACAACACTGTCTAAATACTGAGACACTCTCATTAGGAACTAACAACGTTTATCATTATCACTCTTTCAATTAGTTTAGTCTATAAAATGTCATAAATAGGGGGAAAATGCCCATCACAACCTCCTAGAGTCCACGGTGACGTCTTTAAATAACTTCTTTTGTTGACCAAAGGTAAACATTTTAAAGGATTTTCAGTTTAAATTGATATTTGACAAAGAATATCAGTAAATTATCTCATTAGAGAAGTTTGAACCACAGAATAATTAGCATTTTAAAAATATGCTAATTATCGCTAATTATTGTTGAAAAATAATCCAAATAGCTGCAGATTATTTATTGTGTTTCACGGTTCAGCTCTACTTCTCATGACTCCCAGACAAATACAGTTTAGAATTCAATGACAAACTAAGAGGTCAACAAGTACATAATACTTAATAATATACTCCGCCCCCCCCACCCCCCCATCGCTGTCCGTCTGTGTGCAGCCATGTCCAAGTGGCTGAATGATGAAGAAGTGCTGGTGGGTCAAGGCAACGGCGAGGCAGAACCAGTGACCCCCAGAATGCGAGGCCTGTCAGCTGGGAGCCCCAGAACCGGACAGAGTGTTTATAGTCCGCTGGCTTCACCCCGAGATTCAGTGCCAGGGAGCCCTAGACTGCGAGGCCTGTCAGCTGGGAGCCCCAGACCCGGACAGAGTGTTTATAGTCCGCTGGCTTCACCCAGAGCCAGAGAGGCAGTGCCGGGGAGCCCACAGGCAGAGACCATGGGCAAGGCCAAGGAGCTGTTTGTGCTGTGTGACAAAGAGGGGAAAGGTTTCATCACAAAGCGAGATATGCAGGTGAGCAGCTGATGAGGTGGAATTAAATAATTCAGCCTGATAGTAGAGTGTTGAACTTCCCATCTTCTTCTGTTCAGAGGCTACAGGCGGAGCTGCCGCTGTCCCCCGAGCAGCTGGAGACGGTGTTTGAGAGTCTGGACCGCGAGAGCAATGGATTCCTTACTCCTGTTGAGTTCAACACAGGACTTGGTAAGTGTTGTGCACGATGACGTCTATATGGGGGAAAGCCACTGTATGAACCAAATCCTCTGTGCCTCTCTCTATCTGTGGTGCAGACGGGCTAGTGGGGCTGGAGAACTTGACTGAGCCAAGTCAAAACCAATCAGAAGATACGGACCGGATGGACTGCTCCCAGGACACCCGTGCTGTTAGATTTGTAAACATACTGATGGAGCTCGGAGCAGACAAACTCTTTAAGGAGTAAGAGTACTGACGTAAAGTCATTCCCGTCAGACCGTACACTAAATGTTGCCCCTTGAGTTCTACAGTCGCAATGTAGAACTATCTACTCTCGGGTGCCAGTTTGTTAGGTACACCAAGCTTAAACTGATGCTGTTTAAAACCGGTTATTTAGCCTACCTTTACTTTCCTAAATGTTGACATAAACAGATGGAACAAGTAGTAGAAACGTGTGTCAGGATAATGTAGTATAATTCACACTGCAGCCTCAAATGTCACCATAAGGTTCAATGAAAATCTCCCTAAACACACATTATAAGCTTTCCTGAAGGTAGGATTCATGACAGGACTGTTGTATTCGACTGCATACGTACCCAAAAAATAATAGATATTCAGATATTAGCACAAGGGTGGTTAAGATGGTATAAATACTAATACAGCACATTTGCTTTATGTGTAACACGTTCTATAGAAATATAAGCATATTTACTAGAAGCTGAAGGATAGTGAGGTGTTAATGGGACGGGGACGTTTTAAATGGCTGACTAGATAAGGAAGTGATCTTAAATAACTGAATACACACTACATGGTGCATTTCTCTATCGTGCGCTACAGTTACAGTTATAGTACTTTGTCCCGGCAGGTCCATATGAAATTATTCTATTATATTATACCAGTTTTATTTTATCATGATTCTTTGCCACATCGATACAACTTTGTATGTACATAATCTTATGTTTTATATTGTAGATATTTGATTGTTCTTCTCTGCTAAACAAAAATGTAAACTATTAGTTTCTTGAGCAAACTATGCAAATCTTTGAGCTGGATCACTCGATGCACAGATACTGTATATTTACAGTTTGTTATTAAAAACCTGTGAGTGAGTGATTCTGGGCTGTTAAGGTTCGAGGTCCTCCGTCGCTTTAATAGTCGCTTGTTGTGTGTCAGTCAGCAGGAGCTCTCCTCTCTGTGGTGTGAACTCCAGAGAGACAGACCAGAGCTGCTGAGCGTCCTGGACGGCGTCCTGATCCACGCAGTGTCGCATTTACAGGACTCCATCAGAGAGAGAGACAGTCTGGAACAAGCGCTACGCAGGTCACAGCTTCCTCCCACATGTCTTCTGAGGGACAACTCATTGTGCTCTATTCAACTATGAGTATTCACACTGTGTTGAGTTCTCTAAAATCATTCAAGTGTCATTCGTTTGCGTTTCAGACGGGAGAGTGAACATGATGAGGTTGTTCTGTCCATATATGAAGAAATGGAAAACCAAATCAGAGAGGAGAGAGAGAAACGTGTGGCTCAGGTGCATACTTGTGCTATTTAGTCCTGCCTTTGTGCCATTTAGCAAAAGCGATCATCACAATAGCCTTTAATCAATGTATTGTGAAATCAAGGACAGTATTGAACAGAAGCAGAGAGGACGACAACTTGAGGAGGAGCTGAAGATGCGCGAGCAAGGGCTGGAGAATTCACTGACCAAACAGAGAGAGGTACTCGTTCAAATGGTACTGCTGTTATTTCTGAAGAGTTTTAGTGAAATGAGTGAATCAACAGGACCTGTCTTTGTCCTAAGCTGGAAACCAGAATCCGGCAGCTGAGCTGTGAACAGGCAAACATCAAGGAGCAGAACCAGCAGCTGCAGAGCCTCAACGTCCAGTTACAGGAGCAGGTGGAGCGCAGCAGGGAGCAGCTGCAGGCTGCTCTGGGTCAGCTCAGCCTGCACCAGGTCAGCGTTGCCCAGAAACAAGTGGCCAGACAGAGGTGAGTGGCTAACCACACAAGAAATGACTCCTACGTCCCTGCAGCTGGTCTGATAATATAATAGGATATAATACCAGGAGTTAAGGGGAAAACCATTAAAAGACCTTCATTTCAACACCTTGCTACGGTGTCTGTGGCACTCGGACCAAGCCATATTTGACCCGACTGAAGACATATTTCGTAAAAATGACTCTCAAATATTCAATTAAATTCAATTATAATGTATTTGCATAGCATCATATCATATAAAAGTAGTTTAGAGTGCTCTATATAAAAATATGTATGTGTGTATATATATATATATATATATATATATATATATATAGTATAATTGTTTGCTTCACTGTAGAAACATGATGAAGGTGTCGAGTAACATGCAGAAAGAGAAGGACAGTCTCTTCAGACAACTGGAGCTATTGAGGTACAAACAGCTGCTGTCAGCAATGAATGTAATTCCAGTGTGTGTACTTTTCCTTTTTTTTTTTTATTCAACCACTACCACTCTCTACATCAGCCTGTGTGATGGTTGTTCTAAATGATTACCTCTCTTTGTTTTAGGGATATGAACAAAAGGCTGCGAGATGAGAAGGATGCCCAACAGTCTCAGAAGAGGGTTAGTCATAGAAGCTCTGTCCTTCCTCCTCTGCCTCTAACTTATTATCTCAGAGAAGACCTTTGTACCCCGTGGACACAGCAGATTTATCCAACCTAAGCTCAGTCTGGGAACGGCTTCGTGCTTTATTCCTTCCTGTGGACAATGATTATTTATATGGGCAGCTGTTATTGTTGGGCTATTGATTGAACGTGTGTTCATTGACCCCGTTTGGGAATTTTACGATGTCAGCAATGTTTTTGGGGGTTTTTTTTTGTAGATGTAGTCGGTGAAGTGAAAGATTTTGTTGAATTTGTTGACATTTGTTCCATTTGTGCCAATTTAAAGAAAGGAGCATTTTATATGTTTATTAATGACACTTGACGAAAGCACTATTCATGAACTAAAGTGTCAGTATTTACCAAACTAATAAAGTCTTGTCACAATTCATAAAGGAGTCATGATCTATTATCAGGTTCTCCGTTATCCAATCCACATTCTTAAATGTATGGCATTTTTGCCAAAGCTGTTAACTGTGGCTATGTTTTTATTTATTTAACAATCATCTCTCTTGATCAAAGTCTCTGAACAAGTAAAATACAAAATGGTCTTACAAGAAACCGCATTGACCGTTACACAATGAACACCTGTCGGTTATTTTTGTCTTATCGTATATATTATACTCAAACAAGTATATTGCAGATGAATAATTGTGATATTTAGCTACTTTGTAGCAGAATAAATGTCACTATTGGACTAAATTCTTGCCTTTTTTAAGGCAACTTACCATATACATAAGAGTCCATATATTTATACTATATAAAACGTATATATTATTTTAAATCTTAATGCTACTCATTTCTTCTGCCTCACTTCCCACAAAAACCTTGTAGAATCCAAATGTCACAAAGCCTTTAAAGAAGAAAGGGTCAATTATAGGCAACTACTTACTGCAAGACAAGCTACTGAAAAGGTTTGTATGACTGACAGCTTCTGATATCACATCGATCATATTTGCAGCGATGCAAGGCAGATTGCCAGAGGAAGCAACTAACTGTGTGTATTCATTGATTCTGAAGACAGCTGAGCTCATCTGATGAGTTGGAGCACGACAAAGACACAGAGGTCTCAAACTCGTCCAAGAGACACCAACCGTCATGTAGAGTCAAGGGTGAAAATGTTGAACAGGTGCAAACTCAGGTAGGGAACATATTCCATTTACAAATACATGAATCCCAAATCCTTCAGTTTTATTATACAGTTGCAGCAGCTGGAGATCTTTTAATGGTGAAGATGATAATCTGAGCACAGATTAAAGGTGCATCCTCTTAAACAGAACATGACTCTGATGTCATGATATTAAGTTTGGTCCCTTTACCTGAATTTTAGACAATTGTCAGTCCTCAGCGAGTGTTCAAGCTGGTATTCCTGGGTAACTCAGGCGTTGGTAAGAGCTCCTTCATCCAGCACTACTGCACGGGACACTTCAACAGTAAAATCAGCGCTACTGTGGGTAAGCTCTTCTCTTGTTATCACTCTTTCACAATGATTAATGTGCTCCTCAGTGTATGTATAAGTAAAGAATGACACCATGGGTCTCTGTTGCTTCTAGGTATCGATTTCCAGATGAAGACTTTAACTCTGGGCTCCACCATCATCACCCTGCAGCTGTGGGACACTGCAGGACAAGAGAGGTCAGATGTATCACAGTTTATTCTCGTGTTTACCAGCCGTGTGCTTTTTTTTTTTTGTGGCCTTTCATATTTTACATTATACCGTCTGAGAGCTGTAGGGTCTTTTTTCTGGCCACCTGATGAGTCAATTTATCTTTTTTCAGGTGAACATTTTTCTTATTCATTTTCTTAATCCTGTTCAGGTTTCGCAGTATAACTGAGCAGTACTACCGCAAAGCTGACGGTATCCTTGCCATGTATGACATAACTCAGTCCTCCTCCTTCGCTGCTGTGAGAGCATGGATGGACTCCGTGAAGGTGAGCAGGTGGAGATGGAATGGAAGGAAAACAACATGCAAAACCATTTGTCCGAATTTGAATACGCATGCAGCTGATCGACGATCCAGGAATCTATAGACACTAATGCTCAATTTAGATTGTTATTTTCAAGGTTATTTTCGTCTGATGTCTGTGTAGATAATTAAATAGCATTTCTCACCTTTTTTGCTTCAGTTTTCAACACTAATAGAAGTGTCTTTCCCAGGAGAAGATGTGTGAAGGTGCGGTACTGATGCTGCTGGCGAACAAGCTGGACCTGGCAGACAGTCGCAGCAGAGAAGTGAAAACAGAAGAAGGGCAGAGACTAGCAGACGTGAGGCACATTCAAGCTACTTTCCACAGTGATTTACTCACAATGTCCTTGCTAACGACGGAACATTATCTTTGAAATACGTGAAATGAAATGTTTGTTTTTTGACTTCCTGGTTTATACAGCAGCACCAAGCTTTGTTTTACGAGTGCAGCGCAAAAACTGGATGCAACGTGGAGGAGCTGATGGCTTCTCTTGCTGGGTATGACATCACTTTTCTTTGTTATGTATGACATTCACATTATCTGGATCCGGCAAAATGTTTGGCATTTTGTTGGCACAATTTGTCACTCTAGCCAAAATACACTCAGTTACCAGTTCATCAGGTACGCAGTCTAGTACGGCAGTCGTGCAAAAATGTTACCGTCATGAATGTTGCAGTGATTTGAGAGGTTTTGATTCAACTTTACAGTCATTTTTAGGGTTGTTGTTTGTGGTGCTGTTGAATTGTATTGCGTTAGTTACTAATTACTTTATCGACTAATTGTCTGCAGCATTAGTTTACTGTCATGGATATAAAAGGGATGTACCTGATAAACTTGAGTGTAGTTCATCTCATATCATTTTTGACTTAAACCTGAGATGAAGCCAGGCAGCAGGATCAACTGTGTAAACGACAAATGTTGTGGCTTCAGCTGCGCAATGATTCAATCATTTTCTTCCTTTCAGGATGTTAGTCTCCCAGCATGATCGACAATGTGAAGATGCACTTTTACTAACTGACGGCATGGCTAAAAGAGGCTGCTGCACATAAACAGGACGAAAAGGCTTTTGAATAAGTCCTAAGGTCACTTAAATCATTTGAAGACACAAACATCCACATTTTTCTGAGAACAAATTCACTGAACAGTATCCGTTATGTTTGCCTATGTTGTTATGTATCTTTATAATCTATCAAATAAAATACATTTTTGCTGACGCCTTTGTTGTCGAAGTCTCTTTTTTTTTTTAACTCTTTGAGCAACATCTTACAAGCTGCACAATTGTTCTAGAGCTCATATGCGTGAGAAACCAGCTGGGGGCAGCCATGTACTCGATATAGCTTGTAGAGGGGTGAGCTGGCTGTTGTGCCAAAAGAGGACAGACGCTCGGACGCTCGAGTAGGAGGCGCTGGTCTGAGTGTCAACTGAGAACTAACGCTGTTGCAGCTAACCTTCAAAGACAGCAGCACCTTGACAGCGGGGTTGGTGGGATCTGGGAAGACATTACCTCGATAATATACAGCCTACGGGGCCCACCGTCTAAAATCAGGTAGGAGTATTTTAGTCTCAGTGGAAAGGGAGAGCAGTTTTTCTATGACAAAATGAGTTAAAAATAACTTGTATGACCATTAGGAAATGTTGTTTTGCTGCTGGACAATCACATTTATACAGTGACTCTTTCTTGATTTGTTTGTTTTTTATGTATAAAAATGTATTTCACTGATGCCTGAAATCAACATCTCTCATGATGCTCAGAGTCTCAACCTTTCTTAAAATAGAAGCAGAGGAAAGTTCAGTTCAGGTTAGGATAAAAACAGACACAGATTTTGAATTCATAACGTAGAGCGTTAAAGTCAACAGTATATCACTTGCATGTGAAAAGATCAGGTTAAGTTACTTGGATGGGGGAAATATATATATATATCTGACTGCTGTGTGACATGTGACACAAGTTCTTAAGTATGTTTTCCCCAAAACACATTTGATTTAATCTTTGAGCTCTTTCCATAGCTCTGTAAATACCACCTGTTTGAATCTGTTGAATGTCACTCAAAGCAAACGCATATAAAACCTTAAAAACACATCAGAAAGTGTCATGTATGTCATAGTTGTGTGTTAGAACTCCACCGAGTAAATCACCTTTTCACATCAAACGTGGAACTAAAGCAGACTGAAAGAGGAAATTCCTAACGCAGCGGAGAAGTTTCAATCGGATAGAGCACTAATAGAATTTAGCATTCCGTCATGAGAGTATAAAGATGGTCAATTGTATGATCGTATTCTTCACTATAGTATGCAATCGGTGTTGGAGGTTATGGCCTGCTCTCTGAGCATCTTGTGTTCATTCTGTAGGTGAGGATTCAGCTCTAATCTAATCTTCTCCAGACAGTATTTCATTTGGTAAAGCGCTCCCTCTGTGTGAACAGTAACCTGCGGTTCACTAACGTGTACATTTTTATATTTCAGAATGGAAGCTCAGGGTGAAAAAACACACAGCTGTGGGACAATTTGTCTGAAATATCTACTTTTTCTCTTTAACATTCTTTTTTGGGTAAGTTAATAAGGAAGTGTGAATACTGTATCTGTATTTAAGACAACAGACTCTCTGTTCAGAGCTCTATTGACTAATCTAATAAGTATAACTAACATTAGTAGTAATTAACTTTTACCTAAACGTTAAACTTATTCTTTGCTTCGGATGCCACAGAGATTTACAACATGGAATCACTTCACAGCTCCCACAATTTCTACTGTTTCTCATAGTTGATATAGTTATATATCTTCTATAAAAATATGTCATATTATGTGCCATATAATTTCTATAAACTATATTTACAGTACAATGTTGTGTCTCCAATGCACAAAGAGTTACAAGAGACACTTCAGAGACAATCCTACAATATATCTACATATCATAACTTTTAACTTCAATTTTCACTTTCTCAACTTTGATTTTCTTAATTTAAGTTTTTAATAAGTTATTGTGTAACCATCTTGTATAACCAAGTATGCACTCAGATGCATGATTGTCTTTTGAGGCTAACAGGGAAAGAGTAAGGCGTGTTGTTTGCATCACTGGCACATTTTAAGAGCCTGCAAAAAGAATAATGTGGTGCATTCTTGATATGAGCATCTGGTTTGAGTTGAGCTGATAACTGTGTGTTCTTTCAGCTGGCTGGAGGGGCTGTGTTGGCAGTGGGAGTGTGGACTATGGTGGAAAAGAGCGACTACATCAGTTTGTTGAACTCCAGCTTCTACTCAGTCTCAGCTTATATCCTGATAGCTGCCGGAGTCATCGTGATCGTGACCGGGATCATCGGATGCTGTGCCACTCTGAAGGAGATGAAGAGTCTTTTGATTGTGGTAGGATGGATCAGACACAAACCGCTGCCCTGTGACAGAGAAATGTTTATTTCACCCCACTAAAGCATTAACCCCATTCAATTATGAGGAATCAGAAACCAAGTAATGGCACTTTCCTGTTTATACACCCACAACCTGGTCTGAGTTTACGTGTTTGGAGAGTTAATCCTTGGTGACCTTCTGTCTCGTCTGCCTGCATTCAGTGCAGCTCATTATGTCAGACAGGCATGACTGTCAAATATAACAGACAAAGCCATGCAGAGTGTGTCTTTAAGAGTTTAGATTTAGAGTGCGGCTCATGCTCAAGGAATGAAGGGCATCACAAGCGGCTACTTGAACTGAAGAGTGCGTGAGAGAGACAGACGCATGTGAGAGGATATAATACAGAAGCAAAACTGCACAAGCTCTGTGACGTTATGTTTATTTCCATATTCAACATGATCTTTGTAGTGAGTAACTTCCTTTACCACAGTTTAATCAATTATCCTCTGGAGTAAAAATATATATTTATATTTTTTTGTCATGCACAGTGATGTCCAATGCTTATGTCATATTTAAAAATAATTCATATTTTAGCTCAGAAATATACTGAAAAAACATTTGAAAAATGCAGGATTAATATGTTTCGCCCTGAGTTTATTCACAGCTGTGTTCTTTTTTTATTTCATGTCCCTCCTCGACAGTATTTGGTCTTGTTGCTCTGTATCTTCCTGCTGGAAATCATTGCTGGTGTGCTGGCTTACGTTACCTACCAAGAGGTGAAGTGCTTTACCTTCTGTTTGTTTGTCTGTCTGTAAATATTTTACCAAAGGATAGTGACAGATATTAGTTCAATACAATATCATTTTCAATAGAAATATTTCCTTGCAAAGTCTTATACGGCGTGTGATTGTGTGTTTTGTATTCTAGCCATTTATTTTCAATTTCACTGCAGCAACTACAAGACACCCCCTTTTTTCTGTATGTACTTAATGTGTATTTTTGTCGTTCCACAATCCCTTAATGTGATTTCAAACACCAGTCCTTGTTGTCCATCATTTCTATTTAAATCTTTTTTTACCAGCCATAATATGGCTCAGTCGCTGCACTCTCTGTAAAATCTCCTCTGCATTCCTCTCTGTGCATGTTCTTCATTTGTCCTGTTTTCCATCCTTCTCAAACTCTCTTTCTTCCCCCCTTTTCTTGCTCTAGTGTTTCCCTTTCTGCTATCAGGTAATCTGCTGCCACCTGTTTCCATTTAATATCAAACTGTCTTTCTAACAGGTTGATATAAATGGCTTGTTTGCACTTTGTCAGTGAGGCAACAAAACTATCTTTATTTGTAAATTAATTTGAAGAATGCTCATGTAGCGCAGGGAGTGGGGTCAGAGAAGCTATGCTTATATATATAAATTATGAGTTATGTGAATACATTGCACAGGTACAGAGGAATGTTGAAACTTAACCAGCCTATTTTTATTGATGTGAGGAGATTAACAGATTATAGAGTAACCTGAATGCAGTTTTCTGTCTCACAGCTGGACGAGGAGCTGAGACATAATCTGAAGGTGACAATGCAGGAGAAATACCAGCAGCCGGGGGAGGAGAGCATCACACAAGCTGTGGATAAACTTCAGCAGGAGGTGTGGAAGTGATACTAAATGTTTAAATCACAGCTGAGTTAACTGCCAGACTGATAAGAAGTAATACTACTTACTTCAGCGGCAGGTGTCAGTTTGATCAGATAACGTTTAATTTGAAATGACAGTTTGGCCCCTTTAGCCTGCATGTGAATACAATTCAGTGTTAATTACCATTGCCTCATCATTTTTCTGCACCGTCTCCCTCTCAGTTTAAGTGTTGCGGCAGTCATAACTCCTCAGACTGGAGAGACTGTGTGTGGATCCAGTCAGCAGAGAACGAGCGGCTTGTTCCTGATAGCTGCTGTAAAAGTCCCAGTGAGCTCTGCGGGCGCAGGGACCACCCCTCCAACATCTACAAGGTGGAGGTAGGGAGACATGTCAGTTTGGCTGTGAATAGATGTTACATTATAACAGTGTTTTAATTTCTTTCCTCTCTCGTGCTCCTAGGGAGGCTGCATTATGAAATTAGAGGAGTTCATCCTGAGTCAGTTGTATATTATTGCCGCAGTGGGCATTGGGATTGCATTTCTACAGGTAAAGCACTAAACATAGAACAAGTTGATATCAACATCTCTTTTAATGCTGTGCAAAATGCCAGCAGCTGAACTGTGAACAATGGTTGTTTCTATGTGCACTGGGGAACTAACAAGTTTGTTGTGTCTTTTTTTATTTCAGCTTGTGGGGATGATGTTTACTTGCTGCCTTTATCAAAATTTGAAAGAAGATCCATACTGATTTTTGACTTCGTTTTAATATCGCAAAATGTGTCACATCATGAATTGTAAAATATTTGGTAGGTATTGTAATAGCCCAGCTATTCATACAGTTCTGGATGCTGTGAAGCTGTTCACTCAAATTATGAAACGGTGAAAGTACGCACACTACAGATGCTGTAATGCTGCCGGGCAGCAATGTTCTTTTTCTGCAAAATAGCATTGCATGCTTTAAATATCGTCCCTTTTATATGAAGATTATGATGTTTGGATGAACTATGAACCAAAAGCACATTTTACAGAGCAGAGAAATATGAGAATGCTGGGGCTAAATTTGCAATAGTTTGCAATAAGTGTTGGTCTTGTTGTATCACAGTGTCAACCAAAGTTGTAATTAAATGATGAATAAATAAAAAATATGTTTTCTTTGCCGAAATGCAAATAAATAATGCTTTCACTTTCCCAATGACATCGTATCGTATTTCTGCGACGGTGAACTTTTATTCTGAAATCTTACAGCGGATGTTGTCAGCTGACATTACTTCCTCCTCGCGGATTTCTCTTGAATGATTTCGCCCACACTTGTCTTCTTATTCATTTCAAACAAGCGAAACATATTTGTTGTTGAGGGAACACGAAGATAAATGAAATGTCTGCAAAGCCAACGTGTTTGATTGTGGCGAGTGCGTCTCCTCAAGGTGGGTCCATTAGCTCGTGCTAGTTGTCATGTGACGTTATATTCATAGACTGGTTATAATGTAACGTTAATTAGTGTGATGAAGTGAAGTGCTGAGTTCACTGAGACAGTTTTGTATGAATTAGAGCTCAGCTACGTTTGTGTTGCACATATGAGCTCAGGTTTAAACTGGTGTGTTTTGTTTCTTCAGGGGTGTCAGCGACGTCTTTCCATCAGTCCTTCAGCCTTTGTACCTCAGTGTTTAACCTCCAGACAGCCACACCTGGGGTAAGACTATTCCTAACTAAAGAAATACCCAATAAAATGGATTAATTAATTTATTATCATGATCTACAAATACAGCTGTAATATGAATAACACTGACATTTAGATTTGTCTTTAACTTGTTTGGCAAAGGAAGCAGTATGAAACTTCAGCTCAGAGTAACAGAGCGATGAGATTGGCCTCATAGATTATTTATTTTACTTGCAGGGGAAGCCGATAGACTTTGTTGGAGTCGATGAAAACACTGCTCGATGGGTGCAGGACTTCAACCTGAAACCCTACGCAACACCAGCCAAACTTGAATCTATAGATGGTGAGGATATTTATGACTTCGTGGTTATTTAGCAGTTTTAATGGTGTGGCGTTTGTTGCACTCTGCTCAGTTGTGTCTTGATTAACCCCTCTTCAGGTGCTCGATACCAGGTGCTGCTCATCCCGGACTGTCCCGGAGCGCCGAATGACCTGGCACACAGCGGCTCGCTGCACCGCATTCTCACACACTTCATCTCTCACCAAAGTGAGTACACGGATATATGTATATTTTTTAAATCCGTCAGTGTGTAATCCATATGTCCGGTGTAGAGATTGGTTTGTGTCTCTGTGTGCAGAGCCTGTTTGTGCAGTGGGACAAGGAGTGTCTGCACTGTGCTGTGCCACTGAGGGACAGAAGTGGATCTTCAATGGCTACAGCTTAACAGGGGTTAGTCTTCCTCAAGTAAACATGAAGGCAATATTCCCAAATATCTTTATGTGGTAACGTACGTAATAACAGCGACTATTTCTGCTGAAAGCCGTCGGTGTTTGAACTGGTGCGGAGGCCTGACTTTGCCAACCTGCCCTTGGTCGTGGAAGACTTTGTGAAAGACAGTGGTGGATCATACACAGGTGAGCTGACCTGCAGAGCACAGACAATAATTGGAAAAATACTTAATCAGCATTTCTAAAATCCTCTCATGTGTATCTTTGTTTTTCAGCAAGTCAAGAAGATGCTGTGCATGTAGTAATAGACAGACACCTCATAACTGGCCAGAATATGCAGTCAACCTCACTTGCTGTAAATAATCTGATCCTGCTGTCGAGTGCCAAATAAAAACAAAAGTTTACCATCAGGAGCATTGAAATTCAACTGCTTGGTTGTTCCACATTTATATTCATGTAATTAAACATTCATCTCAGACAAATATTGGCAGATGCTGGGTCAGAACCGATGTTTGGCACCACTGTAAATACAACTTCATTACTTCTCAATGCTGTTATTGTAAACACAATGAATGGCACACAATCAAATGTCATGATTCAAAGATAGGAGAGAGAAAAAGCAGTTTTGAAGGTTGATGTCTGTGGTACGTGAACAAGAGGAGAATATAACCTTTTATTCAAACGTTATACATGTTGATGATCATGCACCCTCTGTTGTTGAAGGGAGACGAGTCACTGCACTTTGACTAAACTGTACAAGTTGATTTTTCTTTTTTCCACAATACCACCGACGATGACGAATAAAACATACTGAAGTACCTGTGTCTGCTGCTAGTATCGTTTAAATCAACAAATCCCAGATTTGTTCATGTAGAGAAGATTTCTCAACACTTTCATGACCCTCAAACAAGTTGAGCATTAACTAAATCCTGTCAACACCTCGTTTCAGAGTTCATGTAAGCCTAACTTGTAAAACGAAAAATGGATAGATAAGACCGGCATAAAGCTCCTGAATATTTGGTGCTTGGTGTTCAAAGAGAGTAAAATCCATATGCTGCTGGTCCAAAGTCTTCACTATCAAGTCCAACTCTCATAGGAGATCATAGAAGTAGTCCAGTCCTTGTCCTAATTCCCATAAGGAAATTCCTGTTCCCAGTTCAGTAGCTAAAGAGATCCTCAGGAAGAGTGACTGTAAAAAAGTAAAAAAAAAAGTGAGTCTCCCCATGTAGCAGTAAACATAATGAAAACACTTCTTTAATAATCTTAAAATGTGCTAAAGACTTACCTTCAGTGACGGATAGTACACCACATGCTTAACGGCATTGTTCCTGAAATGAACGTCACAGATCTCGTTAACTGATGCTGTGAGAAGTTTCAAATTGAAGCCATAATTTGTTGACTTTGAGTGTAGTTAAATCAGCACCTCTTGTAGCTGAAATAATGCTCCGCAGAATATTCGTCCCAGAGAAGCTTTGGCCTGTTTTCTCGCAAAATCTCGATGTACCTTCAGGAAATCAGAGACAAATGTAAAAGCATGTTCAAGGACCTTTCCTGTTCTCAGCAGACTACGACTTCTTGGCTTCTTGCTATTGTACTGTCTCACCCAAATTTGCAATTTCGTAGAGTTAGAATAGTTTTGGTTGTATCTCTATGATCAATTTTGATTATCTTTTGAAAATCATCCATCAGGAGTCAGACAATGTTTACCACAATGCGAAATCAGATTGAAACATATAAAAATGTAAATAAGGTATTCCAGCAGTAGTCACAGTACTATCTCACCTTCCTCCCAGGACTGGCTCGGTTCCCTGGCTTGCAAAATCAAGGCCATACAAATTGAGTCCAAGCAGGATCTTTTCCCTCCACTGAGTGTTGGGAGCAAGTTGTAGAACACAGTCTCTCACCCAAGGCAGCGGGGAGCTCGGGCCCGGTCTGTTATAAATAAATAAAAATTTAAAAAACAGATAACATTGCCTGCATTAATGCTGTGCATCTTCTTGTAGCTGTCAGTTGCTCTACTGTCACTACCTGAAACATTTCCATCTATAGACCTCACTGTGTCTGTGACACTCACCTGGCACCGCTGGAGTAGTCGTATGTCATCAGGCTGAATCCATTTACTACAGGGGCCAACTGCTCAAACTCCTCCCTGCCAAACATACCCGGCTCCCCCACACTGATGGTGATGAAAAACATTAATTAAAGAGAAGTCAGCACCAATTTCGGTGCACTTTGAAAAATGTTTAGCTTTTGTAGGCGCTGAAAGAAAACTCATTTTCATTCACCTTGTCACAGCAGGTGGGATGACAAGAATGCAGTCTAATCGTTTTGCCTTCAAAGTCTCACATACGTGTTTCACCATATGGACCAGCTCCCTGTACAGAGATTTTACACATTTGATTATTTTTATTTCCGTCATCACCTCTGACAAAAGAAAATATGCTGATCAGATACAGATGTGTCAACAGAAGAACTCACTTTCTTTTGTTACCTCCCAGCTGGCTCCACAACTCCAACGCGAAACCATCGAAACCTTCAGTCTGCAAGGCCACAGCTTCATTAGACAGACGCAGGACAAACACCGTCGCAAAGGGAGTGAAAGCTAAACACAGCACTTACTTACCTTTGCAACATCCACTAGCTCACTTCCCAGCTCTTCAATTTCATCTTCACTCCCCAGCACACTCGTGTAATCCTGGTAAGACCAGCCATCAAATAACAGCCGAGGCACTGAGGGTAAAGACAAGGAAGCATCTAAAATGAATAACCAAACAATGGACTCATCTGAAAGCACTTGCACATATTAACAGTTCTGCGTTGTGGGCAGTGGGGACATCTACTCACCCATTCGGACTTTTTTGTTAGACTTGCGTACGGCTTTGACCCAGCCTGGACAGACAAAAAGATCCCTTTATGTACATTAATCACTGGAAAATATCTTCCATTTGACTGTCAGTGGCGTGGCGCCTTTACCTGGGTCATGATCGTGGAGTCCTGTAACATCAAAGGTTTCGGGTCCCCGCCGGCGCAGCTGAAGCCAAACTGGACACACTGAAGTTAGTTTAGCACCAAACGTCTTGGCAACATCATAACCGTGGGAATTCCACTGGAAGATGAGGGGGGGGGGGGAATAAGACATGTAATTTAGAGGTATTTAGTCAAAACAACCTACTGTACACACAAACAATGTCTATGTGTATGTTGAAGGAATTATCGGTCACTGCAATCATTCTTCCTTTCTACACCGACAGGAAAGCGATAACGGCCGCATACATAAGCAGTAAGAGGGCTACTTCTAAAGATATGGGCCAGAAGTGAAAATCATTTTCATTGTTCAGCTTCATCACCTCAGAAAATAAAAAGACCATCACAATTCACAGACACTAAATTTACCATCATATAAGACGAATGAAAGCCGTAAATCTATATTGTAGAGAAGCTGGCATCAGCAAATACTTGGTATTTGTGCTTGGAAAAAAAAAAAAAAAAAAAAGGAGTTCAATGATGAATTCATCATCAATGCAGTGACCAATTCATTCTCTGTGTAATCAACTAATAGTTTCGGCTCGACCAAAGTTATTCTTTTTAGTTTGTCTCCAAGAAATTGAAAGTGTGCCTTCACAGTCGAGTCCTTTTAGTTTAAGTACTTTTATAGTTACTTTGCAAAGTAACAGTCTGATGACACACAAAGACGGCGTGTTACAATAAACAGATACATTTTGGGAGGTACTTCATTTGACTAAGAAAACCACAGGGACAAACACTTCCAATGTACTCGTGGGCATGTGAGTGTTGCATTAAGACAGACTTGAAATAATCTGAACCTTTAATGCTGTGTTGTCAAATGTTGAACAGCAACATGTATGCCGGTGACTTACAGGGGTGACATATCCGAGCACCGGTCCTTGAAAGGTTCTCTTGATCTGAGCCCAGTGTCTCTTCTCCTCCTTCACTATGTCTTTCCAGGGCGGGTCTGACACCACGAGGCCTCTCTCCAACACAGACAACTCAGCTGGAGATGTCTAGACAGTGAGATCAAATGGAAAAACAGCCATAATCGTGACTGATATGACTGGTGAGGATCAGGGCCTCTTCCTGGTCCTAGACCAGTCCAGTAACATATGCCAGGCAAACAGAGAAGGACTTGTATGACCTGAACTGACAGCATAACAGTTTACACACCCATTCACCCATGAAGTATACTCACCTCAGTCTCAGCTTTGTGCGACTTCTTTGCATCAGTTTTTGAGAGAGTGGCACTGACCAACAAGCAGCAGCATGAGATGGCGTACAGCAGGAATAATGTCGTTCTCATTTCTAAAACACGCAGTGAACAGGAGTGGTGAAAGCAGTGGAATATAAAATGGGTTAGCTCGAAGTCTGCAGGTTTGCAGTGCAAGTGCTTCCTTCCTGACAGAGATCTGGTAGATTAGAAACTAGCATATGTTGCTTCGCTTTGAAGTCACACAGAACCACGAGCCAACACTCCGCTCATACTGTAGAAATATAACATTTATTATGAACAACACTGGTTTTGACTGTCGGGCGGGTTTTGTGCCAGTTTGATTGACAACTTAGCTCAACGTGTTTCTCGAGCGTCAACGAAGCTGCTGGGTAACTTCCGCGTTGTGGGATTTTCAAAATAAAATGTGTGTGAAGGGAAGTCATCTGAGCCGTTAGGTGGCAGTGTAGCTAGAAGGCTGACAAGCTAGCTAGCTAGCATAATAAAGGAAGACAACATGAGTCAAACAAACACACTGGTGTTGTGCGTTTGAAGATATTAGCAAGACACTTTTAAGAGCTTAACATCAGCTTTTCTCTCCGCAGATAATCTAGCTGACATCTTCATTAGCAGGTGAGTGTCCTTCTGTCTTTCGTGCTAACTGTTGCTAATGTAAGAGTGCAGTGTAGCTAGCAAGCTAACGTGAGCGTTCATGAAGCGTTAGCATATATCTGTCTTAACTACTACTCTGTATACTCATGGTGGAAGAAGTGTACAGGCTTTATAACGTTACTTCAGTAGAAGTAACACACATTTACCCAAAGTAATACAACATAATACACAAAACAACATACTGAGTATTTAGTAGCATAGGATATACTCGATTAAAGTGGAAATACCTTAGAGCTGGACTTAAGTGTGGCGCTTGAATAATTAATAAAGTAGTATGTTATATTCCACCACTGGTGTGATTTGCCCCTTACCTATCCTTAAATTACAACATATGTTATCAGTCAAATGTGAGCTGGTGTGTGTGTATAACATTAAAACTGAACAGCAGATAGTTAGTAGGACCTCTTCTGGTTTGTCTCTAGCTTCATTGAAGTAGCTCTGATCTGTTCTGTAACACTGATCATCTTTTGGTTGTTTTTAGTGAGTGATGGCGGTTGAACAATTTGTGTCAAAGACACTCGAGCTCCTACAGGAGGAGAGGGAGGCTGAAATAGAGGAGACCAGGTATGTAACATAACATCCAGACTGTGATACTTTACTTAATAAAGGCTTTTTTTCAGCACTTTTGCTCTGCACTTCAATGAATGACTTTGGTCAAGCTTCAAAAACACAGGATGCTGCTCTTCACATAATAGCGCTATAAAATGTCTTCTTTTTTGCCTTCAGGATATGGCAGGAGAACATCTCTCTCAAGGATCTTCAAAATAAAGGAGTTTGCCTGCTGAAATTGCAGATAGGAAGTCAGTCCACAGGCCTGTATGGCCGCACAGTCATCGTCCTTGAGCCAAGAAAGCATCTCGGTTTCTCATCTCTGCCAAGCAACAGCTTTGGACCTGGTGAGATGGAAGAATAAAACATGGGATCTGTGGGTTTTCTTTGTGACTTTAGCTTCATATTTTGCTTCTTGTGACATCGATGTCTTTTGTTACAGGGGACATAGTTGGCTTGTATGACACCGGTGGATGCACCCCGGCCTCACAGATCGGCACAGGAATAGTGACGAGGGTCAGCCAAGCTTCTATAAACGTGGCCTTCGACGACTTAAAGGACGGCCTCAGCTTTGATACGGATGCGCTTCACAACCTCTTAAAGTTGGCAAATGACATCACCTACAAACGGATGAAAAAGTGAGTTTTTATATAAGAACGATACAAGTGAATTATGAAAACTTGAAACAACTTATTTTCTCTGTGTGTTTCTTTTGCTTGCAGTGCCTTGAATACATTAAATGGATACAGGAATGGACCAGCTGCCAATATGATAAACGTTCTTTTTGGAGACTCAAAACCGTCTAATCAATCACAGCCAAGTAAGTCACACTTTACTCAGCAAACATAATCAAAAGATAGTTGCTCAGAGAAATTGTGCTTGTTGGTTTGCTTTTACAGAAGTATGCAACATACTCTATGCTGATTTCAAAATGTTGCATGAATCATACGATCCACATACAATTCTTTGTATCCTATTTTGTTTCATCAGACGACGTTCAGTTCTTTAACTCGAACCTGGATGATTCTCAGAGAGAAGCTGTGTCCTTTACGCTGTCTCAGAGAGAAGTGGCTGTGATTCATGGACCACCAGGCACTGGGAAGACCACCACAGTGGTGGAGATCATCCTGCAAGCAGTCAAACAAGGCCAAAAGGTGCAGAAAGTTGATATTTATTAGTGTGTGTGTATATATATATGAATATGTTTCTCCTACTGATTAATGCAGTTACATTTACTGTGTTCTGTCAGTTGTCATTGCAGCACCTCAGTCTAGACGGGCTCATTTTCACATTTTGATTCTGTGTTTGTGCAGGTCCTCTGCTGTACGCCCTCTAACGTGGCCGTGGATAATCTAGTGGAGAGGTTAGCCCGGTGCAAGGCAAAGGTGCTCCGGCTGGGTCACCCTGCCAGACTCCTGGAGTCCATACAGAAACATTCTCTCGACGCCATCCTCGCGCAGAGTGACAACGCAAACATCATCGCTGACATCCGTAAAGACATCGATAAAGCATTTGTAAGTAGTTTAGCGTGTGCGCCTACTGGCATGTGTGCCATCTTGACTGACTTGTTGTACATATAAAAACAATTTATTTTCTTTTCTTTTTTCATTTTCAAGATTGGAATGAAGAAAATGCGTGAAAAGGGAGAGCGGGTGAACTTCAAAAGAGAAATAGGGGAGCTTAGAAAAGAGCTCAAATCAAGGGAAGCAACAGCCATAGCCCAGATCCTAAAAAGGGCCGATGTTGTGTTGTCAACCAACACAGGTCAGTATTGGCCGTGATTGAAGGAAAATGTCTTTCAGTCGTTGCAGCGATGCTGAAAGGCAATCACAGTGCACTTGTCTGCGTTTAGGTGCTGGTGGCGAAGGCCCTCTGAAGTACCTGCCGGCGGAGCATTTTGATTGGGTGGTGATAGACGAGTGCGCTCAGGCGCTGGAGAGCAGCTGCTGGATCGCCCTGCTCAGAGCACGCAAGTGCGTTCTGGCTGGAGACTACAAGCAGCTACCACCTACTATCAAATCACAAAGGTAAAGAAACTCCTCTTTTTTTCATTCACATGAATTCACATTCAAGATTTTGCATTTGTCCTGTGACAAAAAAATTTCTTGTAAACGCATCAGAATATTTCTTCATTTATGAGTTAAGCTCTTAAATAACAACATGGGGTTTAGTTTGATCAGATTTGAATGAGGGCAACTGTCAACAACACTCATCCAATTTGGTTCAAATGCTAAATTCTCATTGGTGCAGAGAAATATGTGACATCATCTTTTTCCAGTTGAGCCCGGCCCACGTTAAACCACTGACACATGAAAGACAAAAACACAAATACAGAAATCTCTCACATGAAATAAAGAAAACTGTTCTAACTTTGGCAGAACATGTGTGTTCTTGTAGGACCCCATCGACCATAGTGAGATTGTTTTCAGTGCCTTTTTTTTTTAAAATTTTTTATAAGATCTTGTTTCAGATTTTTATAGGTTACCGCACATTGTTTTTCTTTTGTGCTCCACAGGGCTGCATCAAAAGGCCTGTCTCTCAGTCTCATGGAGAGACTCATCCAGATGTATGGGGACTCAGTGGTCCGGATGCTAACGGTTCAGTACCGCATGCACAGTGCCATCATGAACTGGGCCTCCAAAGAGATGTACCAGGGAAGACTAACGGCCCACAGCTCTGTAGAGGGACACTTGTTGAAGTGAGTGCGAGCTTGATGATGGAAAGTGTGTCACGTTTGTATTTCAGTGAATGATAAATCATTAAAGTAAAAAAAAAATAATGATGTCTTTGATGCTGAAGAGATTTACCAGGAGTCACCTGTGTTGAAGAGACCAGCACGCCACTTCTTCTTATTGACACTGCAGGCTGCGGCCTGAGTGAGATGGAGGTCACAGATGAGCAGTCCAAAGGCAATCAGGGTTAGTCATTTTTATTGCAAGAAATCACATTTCATTACAGTCAGTGTGGGCTCTTAACACGGTTGACTATTATTTCGTCAGGTGAGGTAGACATTGTTGAGCTGCACATAAAGGCCTTGACTGGAGCTGGGGTTAAAGCTAAAGACATCGCTGTTATTGCTCCATACAATCTACAAGTAAGTCACTGGTTTGAGGGACTGTAGTGTAAAATGTTCCCACATCAACTAATACTACTGTACCGTGTCATAGCAATAATGCAGAACTTAAATTTCCATTTAAAATTAAAAAAAAAGAGATCTACACTTTCACAGCAATTTAAATACAATCCGTACAAAATCAAAAGACCTTACAGTTGTGTCTCAAAAGCACTAATTGACTTGTATGTTAATGTGTTATCTCTGTAATAGGTCCATCTTCTGCGTCAGAAACTTTCTGCGAGGCATCCAGAGCTGGAGATAAAGTCCGTGGATGGATTTCAGGGCCGGGAGAAAGAGGCGGTGGTGTTGTCGTTGGTTCGGTCCAACAGAAAGGGTAACTTATTTAGCTGTTTTTCTGCCACACAGTGATTGTGTGCAGCAATCATTCATGTATTTGTTCATTCCTTTATTTTAGGGGGAGTTGGATTTCTGGCAGAGGACAGAAGGATTAATGTGGCTGTTACACGTGCAAGACGTCACGTCGCTGTTGTGTGCGACACCCAGACTGTCCAGAGTCATGCTTTCCTGAAGTCCCTGATCAATCATATGACTGAGTTTGGCGAGGTCAGAACGGCATTTGAGTACATCCAGGACATCGTGCCACAGAACTACACCCGTGACCACAAAGACACAAAGGCTAGTGCGTCTGCCAGCAGCTCCACGTCCACCAAACAGAAGGTTAAAGATCAGCCTCCGAGCAGGGCGAAGCAACAACAAAAGAAGTCCACTGGCAGCAGCAGTAATGAAACTGCTGCTGGTACCGAGAAGCACATAACGTCCTGCATGACGGCACTGACGGAGGAGGAGCAGAAGAAGAACAGGTGTGCTGAGATCAGAGCGCAGGTGGAGAGCTTTCTAAAGGACTTAAGTCAGAAAGAACTACAGTTCCCATCATCGTTTAACTCTCATGACCGCCTGCTGGTCCACCAGATCGCTGAGGAGCTGGGCCTCGTGCATGAGAGTAAAGGGGAGGGTAAAGGCCGGTGTATCATGGTCGCCAGGCCTCTGGTGTCAACACCAGCTGAGAGGCCAACACAAGAAGAAGAAGAAGAAGAAGAAACAATCCCTGATCCCCAAAGAGAGCTGCTGTGTCAACCTCCATCAGACCTGAAAAGTTTACATTTGGAGCGGATGAAGAGGGAGCAGCAGAAGAGGGAAGAACATGCTCAACAGAAACAGCAACAGAAACGCATCCCACCAGCTCCGGCCCAGTCATCAAAGAAGCCCAAGCCTGCTAAAGGTTTGTGATAGAAACACCTCATTTTAAGTGTTATTTTAAGCCGTCTGCTCCAATGTGTATGCAACAATTCGACTCTTAATATTTCTTTACCAGAAAAGAACCGAATGAAGGCCGGCGCCTGCGGCATCGCTGCTGCTGCAGCTCCAGACGATGACTTTGACACACTCATCAACGCTGTCATAAAGGCTGAAAGGGTGTGCAGCTTTGTCAGGTGTAAAGCTTCTTTGCTGACACTCGGACAGCTCTGCCTCTTCTGCAACAGGCAGTATTGTCTCAGTCATCATATACCAGAGGTAAGACAGGAACAGACCAACCAGATAGTAGTTGTTTTAGTTTGTGTGTTTATTAGACCGTCGCTGTATTAAATATGCATGACAGTGAAAGGATGTAGTTTTTGTTTATTAAAGGCTGTGCATTGATTTCAGCATAAGTGACAGCTAACATACATATCTTTTGTCTTACTTGTAGTGCTAATTATCAACCTAGATTGTTTTGGTGTGAGTTGCCTAGTTTTGGAGATATCAGCCGTAGAGATGCCTTCTCATGGACTGACAACATGGCGCTAGGCTTGTGGGGCTATTCAACTATGGTTGAAAGAAAATAGTTCCTACATTAAGCTGCTTACAATGAGGTCTGTGGATTGTCTGAGTAACCGGGTCATGATTTCTGCAAAGAGACATTGCTGTTGAGTTTTTCTAATGTATGTTTTTGGCATTTTAAGCACGACAAGCTGAGTGCCATGTCGTGTTTTTCTGATTTGATTGTCATGTTGTAAACCCTTTTTAGGTTCACGGCTGTGGAGATAAAGCCAAGTCTCATGCTCGGATGAGAATAAGCAAAGAAGGCGTTCTGTACGCAGGGAGTGGGAAGAAAGACAAATCCATGGACCCCAATAAGAAAGCCTATCTGCAAAGGAAGCTGGACTCTAAATTGAAAGATATGTCATCACAGAGGAAACCAAAAAACAAAGAGAACGACAGTTAATGATAGCAAATGCACTCTGTAAATGAACATAACTAGAGACTTTGTTCTGAGCAAGAATAAACTGTACAAATGTGTGAAAATGTCTTGTTTGATCAAATATACTGTGTTGCCCTTCTAACCTTCATAGTAAAGAATATGGGTTTTATACAATTTGCTGCTTATTTTTCTGAAATACGTATTGAAACTATACAACTTGTTAGTTATTTTTATCAGTTGTAGCAGCACCCTCAACAACACACACTCACTAAAGTCTTCAGCTCTACTGTCCCGTGTCTACTGTATGCGAGTCTACTTTACCTCCACTGTTACTGTCAGAGGACAGATTGTCAGTGGGATGGAGTTGTTTGCATTTTCATACAATCCAGGAGAGAAGTAGGGGAAAATCCTCTCTGTAAATCTATCTTTGAATGCGTGTATTACTGTCAAATCAGCAGCGTTGATGAAAACAACCTTTCCTTTGTCATAATCCAGCTGCACAGTAATCTTCTCTGGCTTCTGCTTCAACACCAGCTTGGTCCGAGGCGAGGTCTCAGCCCAGAATGAGTCCCCATTGCACAGGCCGAGCACCCAGAAACCCCCAGTCGGGTTGAGGAAGACGGTACTCTCCCTTTTGATGGACTCTCGGGCTACTCCGATGTACCAGTCTTTGCCCTGGCCCACCTCCACAGTCCAGCTGTGCTTCCCAGATGTGTAGCCGGTGGCTCCCAGCACACACACACGGCTGGTGCAGCGTTCAGGGTTACCGGGTACGACTTGCTTACTGCTGTGTTGTACGCTGGTCAACTCTTCAGAGAACTTTAAGTTGGAGTGGGCCGTGTTTGGATCCAGAGTGATGGGAGCTGGAAGTATAAACAAAATTCAGTATGTTGAAAATACCTTTACCTTTAAGCCATTGTCTGCTCACCCACCACATGTGATGATGTTGGCCATCTTCTTCCAAATTCTAAACTTAAGTGATCCCAGATGCTTTGCAGAGTTGATCAGGATATCTCTGATACATTCTGGCTCTGGAATATTGCATTTGGCCCTGAAACATGTTGAAATCATTACAACATTGTCTTATGGAGACTGTGATAACTATAGCAGATAGTGAGTTATACATACCGTTTCTTCATGTCCTTGTAGTCCTTAAAAAAAGGAAAGTATAGAAATGCATCAAATTTACAAAATGTTAGATGTGTAGTTCTATGCAAATCACATGTAGGTGCAAGGCTTTTTGAAATCAGCATTGATAAAGAGTAACGCCTGTACATGACTCCAAAACGCACAAGTTTTGATCCCAGTTGGATTTTCTTTAGGTCAAAAAGAATAATAGATTAAATATATCAAGTAGTGAAAGGAAACATTGATGAAATAATACATGACGGGAAGCATTTATTAGTATTTAAACAAAAAATGTACACTCACAAAGTTTTGTTTTTTTAAAGTAACTTTTTTTCAAAGTAACTTAAAAAAGTAACTTTTTTTCACAGTAACTTAAAAAAGTAACTTTTTTTTCAAAGTAACTAAACTAAACTTGGTTTATATTGCCATGTGGTTGTGTAAACATATCAGTAAATGTACCTGTAGAAATGGTAAGTCCTTTGCTCTGAGATATGCCTCAATATCACTGATGGTGGAAGAGAGGGTTTTGATCTGGTCCTTGATGTTCTCCAGCTTCTCACACATCACCTGGGTCTTAATTTCCTTTTCCTGTTTGAGCAGCTTCAGTCTACTGTTTTCCTCCTCCCTGAGGAATAGGTGTAGCTTCTGAAACCCCTCCTTAATCGCTTCCTCACTTTGATTAGCTTGGCTCTGTCATGTTGAGAAAACTGGTTATGTTTGGCAGTAAACCAAAGGAATGTTTGTGTGCCATGCTCAGAGTGTTAACTCTCTGGGCCAAAAATAATTTAACAAGTGATACTAGAAATTCAGAATGAACCTGTTAACAAAACCTCCATAAATATAAGTCAGAGTAGAGGTACAACAAAACTTTCAGTTCATAACTTTCACCTGTATATAGTTTTTGGTTTCCTCCCGGTCCACCTTGGTCTTGTTCAGTGTTATGAGCTTTTTCCTTAAGGACTCCAGCATCGCTGAAATTTCTCCCTGAAATGATTAAAAAAAGAATCGTTAAGAGTTCAAATCTCGAGCTGAAACAATGAATCTAGTCAACAAACAAAATGTATTATTATATTATATTATATATATAATTATTGTCAACTATCTCAATAATCAATTTGTTACTTTTTCCTGTGCATTAAATCCTTGTAAACTAAATTTTGTTGAGTTTTTGACTGGTTGGTCTGGGAAACTGGGGTATACACTTTTTATAGACTAAATGATTCATTATTTGATTCAGAAAACCATTAATATGAAATAAATTGTTATTTGCAGCCCAATGTATCCCCTTATACGCCTAAAAAAATAAACATGTTACACCCACAGTAGCAACAAATATTTGCTCTCACAGATCACTAATTGTGTTTCTTGTGTTGGAGTATATGTGCAGTTAATCCCTCTGTCATTTTCCCAGTTTCTATTTTTACTCCACCTTTTTCTGTTCTGCAGCCTCCTCCACTGGGCAGCATTCATGAACTTTATGCTGTCTTGACGTTTGGCAGACAAGACAGATGGGCTCCAGGTCATTATGACAAAAAATCTTCAGCTTCTCTTTGTGAAGATGACAAACGTCTTGCTTCCCGATGGTCTTTTGCTCTTGATAATTGTCCGCAGCTATCTTTAGTGCCAAATTGATAGGAGGCCTCCCAGGGACAGACACAGTGCGACACACAGGACATTCTTTGCATCCTTTCCATTCCCAGAATTTCTGTAAACAAAATCTGCAAATATTGTGGCCACATTTTAGGAGAACAGGAAGGTAATAAATATCAGAGCATTGAGGACAAAGTAAGTCCTTTTCAGAGAATGAAATCCCTGCCATCCGGCTGAAGTGTTCCTGTACAGTGAGGTTACAGTAGTGCTTCCTTCCTGCTCTTCAGGTGGTGTGACTGCAGGCAGTACCTTCCCCGAAACCTTTAAATGTTGGCAAACTAGTACGACTGGTTCCATACGCATCAAGTATTCCTCATGCAATATATTGAAATCTGTTGTTAAATGATGATAGTAGACTGACATTATATATATATAGTATACAGTATATACATATACATATATACCCAACAGTCAATAGCAGCACTAAGATCACAGAATAGACTTATATTCACTTTCGGTGCACTTTATTTTCCATTATGAAATGTTTCCATATTTGACACAGTAACATGGTTTGACTCAATGCATAAATATATTAACAATGCATTCAAGTCATCGTCTAAATCATTTAAACCATGGTTTTATCAACATGTCGTCTAGAAAAACATAAGAATTCTACTACATGTATTTAAATGTTGTGTTATTACTGCATTATTCCTCTGAGCAGGGCAAAGCTCAGAGGCAAAAACAGAGGTAGTTTAAATCGTTGAAGATGAGTGGCAGTGCTGTCAGTGAAATCGTATTTATACCCCAGAACCAAGAACAAAAAGTGTAGATGATATCCATGCTTTAGAAGTTTTACATTGACTGTACTACAGGTTGGATGAACAACTTCAAAGAAGAACCAGGAGCTAGTAGTGATGCGTGAGAAACATATATGAGGCTTGAGCTGTGAAAGTAAATGTGTTGGTCTCTCTCTTCTCATGTTGTCGCCCTATTTGCGTTTATAGAGAGAAAACTAAATACTTTTTTTAAGTTTTAAAGCTACAGTATTGTGTGTATTGGATGAGAAAAGTTTGTCACCTCTTTGCTTTAATGATGAAGGTTTCAAAAAGGATTCATAGTAATTGTTGAAATTATTCATCCTGTTTTGACCACTCAATTGAAATTATGCGTGTCCCGCATCAATGTTTTAACAGAGTACTTTTGTCAACTACAACTACAGTCTCACTAAAACTAAATTTAGGGGGAGTTTACTGTATGAAAAACCTTTTTTAAACCACGACTATTTAATTGACAGCTTTTTCTCCCCAAAATCACATTATTACTTGAATATAGTGAACAATGTATTGAACAAATATATAAGAGATATGAATGGTAAAAGCCACTGAATATTAAGAAATACTATAATAAACAATTCCGAAATAAATGCAGTTACAAGGATTCATAATTTGATGAAATCCTTTGTTTCTTGGCGATTGTAAAGAAAACATGCAACATTATCTGATGTAATAGCTCATGTTTTGGGGGCTTTCTCCCTCAAAACCACCTTAAGATTACAATGCCTAATCTCAATACATTTGACCAATTAATAAATATTTACATATGACTACAAATATGAAAGCACTACATTAAAACAACTGCATGTATCTCCTCCAAATGGTTATCTGACAAGTGTGTGATTGGTCAAAGAAGATCCTTTCCCAATAGGTTTCCTTCTCAACAATATTATGTTGATGTCAGACTTAAGAGTAAAACATGGACAGAAAAGGAATTTCTATGAACACAATGTGTGTTGATCTGGCTCCTTAATCTCGATGAATAAGGGAAAACATCAGCTGCATGAACCTGTTCTGTAAAGACACACTACATTTTGAATGGTTAAGAGATTTTAGCTCATCTTTAGGTTTTACACCTCAAATAAATCAAACCTTTAAAACAAATGAACATGAGAATAGTATGTACATGAATACAGTAATAAATATACCATGTATGAAATCAGTTAAATTCAGAAATGGCTCTGTGCTCTGATAAAAAATAATTAAATTAAATCAGCAAAATGTTGATTAAAGAAAAAGTGGATGTTGTGTAAAAGGTATTATCGGAACTGGAACAACAAACCCTGCGACTAAGATCACTGAAGATCATTTCACGAAACACTTCTCATCCATAAAATAGCAAATACAAGTTATAAATGCTCTTTGGGCGGTCCATATTCCTCTAGATTTAAATCCTGCAACAAAAAGAGAGTCATCAGAGACAATGTAGGTTCTTACTTCTTCAGCTTGTATTGAAATCAGTCAGTTCTACCTCCACCGTCAGCTGTAACTCACAGACTGATGTCTGTTAATAAGACGGAGGCCTTGATCATGTCCTCAGAGCCGCACTGTGCGACACTCTGGGTTCAGTTCAGCATCCTCTTCACAGAGCAGTGAATTATTACTCCTCAAACGTCTTCAGCGCATCCCGAGGCTGCCTGCTTCTCTCAGATCAGCCAGGAGCCTGTGAGGCTTCACGCTTCGTCTGCAGATCCAACGCACAAACACAGTCTCACAATCACACAAATCCAGGCTTCATGGAGGACTTGAAACATTTAGGACAACCCTTCGTGCCGTTCGTCTGCAGACACCTGAAGGAATAAAAAAGCAGAGTGTCAACTGCTTCGGCCTTTAGAGGTGTAAAAATCAAGAAATGCACATATTAATGCGGCCAGATCTGAAGACCTCACTGTATTCAATAATAATCACGCTCAATCATTTATGTTATCTATGAAATATATGTGTCAAAGATAATAAGTAGTACGCTGTGCTAGAACACCCACTTGAGATGGAAAATGTGGGAACAGGGTAAGGCCTGCAGTTTTTGGTCCCTGTCCCCGATGGACTCTCCACACATGCCGCAGTAGAGCTCCAGCTCCTCGACACACTGCAGGAACTTCACCACCTGCTCTCTGAGCTCCTCCTGCTGCCCCCGGGTCCGATAAATCCCTTCACTCAGGCAGTGCACCTTCAGCGCACACAGCTGACGACACAAATCAGAAAGAGACCGTCAATGTGACCTGTAGATTGTATGTATGATGAAGATTAGGTAACGGTTAATGGCACTAAAGAAAAGGTAATTGTTTTGTCTATAAAATGGAGAAAAATTGCAAAACATTCCTTTGTAACTTCCCTCGAAGTTGCCGTCTTTAAATGTCTTGCTTTGTCAAAACCAATAGTTGATAATCATGTGTTACGAAGAAATCTTAGTGCTAATTTATTTAAATGTATTGAAAATGTTCTGGTATCCTCCACACCAGACTCTCCAGCTACAGCAAACAAAGAATACAACAAAAATAATACCACAATAAAATAACATTTAAGCTGAAATAAGCTTCATAATCATACAAAATATCCTTTGTTTACCAGAATTTATCGAATCTATATTTGAAAGAGTTAACAGAAGGTGCCTGCCTTACATCCTTTGGATGCTTTTTACAGCAAAAAGTGTGAAGAAGTGTTTTCTCCTTTGAGAGAAACACATAAGTGGGAATCATTTTAAGGAGTTCACACTTAAATCATACCTATTAATCCAAAAGTAGATGACAGGCTCGGCTGTGATATCATAATATATTCTGTAAACAAGCTTTTAGACCTCAATCTTGTCAGCCGTACGTCTTATGTATACTAGAGTAGGTCATTGTATTTCTCTGAACCTGTCCTCATATGGCATCTCTTTCAGACCTGGAATTAGTTTATTAGCTCTTCTCTGAACCTTTGTTAATTATTTATATATATTTTACCTTATGAGGACACCAGAACAAACTTGCAAATTCAAGATGAGATCTCACCAAGGATTTAAATGGGCTGTGTCAATGTCAATGTCCTTAATAACTGTTATAAATATTTTTGTGTCTTCCGCTAAAAGATATGCATCAGGCTGCATCACACATGGCAAAACAAAGATAACAAAGAGGACAGGGCCCAACACAGATCCCTGAGGAACTCCGGAGGCCTGAAGTGGCATCAATTACCACCACCTGCTGTTTCCTACTGCGTGGAAAGTCCTCTATCCAGTCTGTAACTCTGTTATTTATGCATTATTGCTTGACTAATACGATTATTTGATTATAACTACTTGCCGATTAATTCTATTAATGGACTAATAGTTGCAGCTCTACTGTACTTGTGTCCTGTGTAACATCAGTTACCTTGTTTCCCATCCCATCTGCCAATTCCTGTGCTCGCTGCAAAGAATCAAGAGCCTGCAAAATAAACAGTGAGGCTGGCACTTATTATGAGAAACAATAAAACAATGATGTCAGTCATAAGAGTGTGATATTTGAAGGGAAATGTACATATAATTATAGGTACCTTGTCCAATTCTTTTTGCAGAAGCCAACACTTTGCAACTCCCAGGTAGACGTGTGATTGTCCGAGACGGTTTCCAATCTCAGTCATGATACCCAGTGCAGACTCGTAGCGAGGGAATGCTTTCTAGATGGATGAAGAGAATTACCAACATGAAGCTCGCCATACAGATGCCAGTGCAACAAACAGTTAAAGGGAAAAAATGAGAAAGCAACGAAAATAAATACACCAAAAGACAAAATCTTATCTTTAACCCAACAGGTCTGCACAAAGGGTCACATCTTACATCAACGTCACGCCTGCAGCGGTGTATGTCTGCGAAGTTTAGTAAGCACAGAGCCTGCAGAGGACGGTCGCTGTGCTGCAGAGCAATCTTCATCGACTCCTGTTGAAGTGAAACACAGAGGTTTTCCGGAAGAAATTCATTTGTCGGACTGTGATACCAAAGCTCTTCTGAAATCTAATGATGGGAAATCATCAAACATTTTGGATCATTTGGAAATTGGACTTTCAAAGTTAGTCAGGTTCATTGACAGCAGATATATTAAAATGAAATGGCAGTATTAAACTAAGTAGCACCATAATGTATACAATGCTTCTTAAAATTAAGTCTTATTATGAATGAAAATATTTACACGGTACATTTAACTAAATCATTCTGTGAATGAGAGAATTTGTTCTTTATAATGAAAAGACGCGTGCATCCTGAAACTCACCGCCATATTTTACTGAACTACTTTTACAAATTGTTATGGCAGCTATTTCATTCATCAGTTTCTTTATATTTAAGATAAACCAGGCTGACGTTGTTGTTTCACCGTAAGGACTCCTCTTGTACCCTGGTATTCTGAAAATGACAACATGTGTACATTGTTTGTCTAAATGTGTTTGGCAAAAGTAATAAATCTGAAAATGCATCCTGCTGTCTTGTTACTTTACTTTTGCACTCCAAGCCAATGACATCAAGCTATTTTTCACCCTCAGTACATAATTAGAACAGAGTGAAGACCAAAGCTTCATTAACACTTTAAACCAGCCCGTCTATGAGCATATTTCTGTCGAGGTTTAAGGCCTGGTACAACAGAACAACTGGCGCTTGCACCTGTCAGCAGAACATCTACAGTATCTGCAACTCCGACATCCAAACAGCCAGAGACATCAGGGGACAGGGAGTTTGTGACAAGCTATGCAAGTTTGTCTTTATGTGGGTGAGTCCAGACTTTGAGGACAGTTGGGACAGTTATTGAGTGTCGGACAGCGATAAAACAATACCTCACAGCACTCCATGGCGTCTGGCAGGCGCTCTAGTTTCCTGTAGGCGACAGACATGTGGTACTGGCTCATGGCTCGATACTTGAGGCTCCAACCCTTGCCGTAGTCATTGACAAGCTCAGCTGCTTTACATGGGAAGAACAGGGCTTTCTCATAGTCCTGTTGGCAGAAGTTATTGATGAGTAAGACGTCTGATATCCCAAATGGCAGTGTCTTAGTCAAATGTCTTTTCGGTTTTTTATTCCCTTCTTATGGCAATTCAGCAGTATCATTCTCTACAGTATTATTAACAGGGAAATTGTGTTTTCTTTCCTAAAATATGACATATGAGTGCATTTTTCAAACGCCGCTTCATCTCAATCACATTGAAACCAATCCTCCCAAGGAAGCAACGGGATGACTATTACACATCTCTGATGTCAAGGGTACTACAGAAACCCCCGCCAGGCAGCCTGCTCACTCCGCCCGTGTTTCACAATGCCCAGTACCACATGAGCTAACCATTGATGATGTTTGCTTGGATGCTCTGCAGTGTTATCATACTCTGCAAATACGTTGGCAACCTCAGTAATGATTGCGCAATGAAGTCCCACGTGCGATCCAATGAATGTTTTTACCCAAATAGAAAACCTGAGACGTCTGCAATGGTCAAATGATGTTTTACAGAAAAAGAAAAGTTCTTATTCAGGCTCTTTGTCTGTAATATGCCTTTCAATAAATATTTTTAAAAGACATTTGGGGGAAAGGTAAGGCTGAGCAAAGACAACAGTGTAGTATTTGCAGTGGAGCACACATTAAAATGATCACAATCAGCTTTCAGAACAATCTGGTCACTTCTATCAAAAGTACCTTAAGGTGGACATAAATGTTTCCCAGACTGCAGCAGACTCTGCACTCCAGCATCTTGTCATCGTTGTTGTGTGCGTAGCGCAGGGCCTTCTCGTAGCTCTCCAGAGCTTTCTGGAAGACACTGAGGCCCAGGAAGGCGTTGCCCATGCTGAGACAGACCTGGCCGTTGAGCTGCAGGCTGACGGTGGTGCCCTGCATGTTTAAGCAGGTCTTACAGTAGGACACCGTTTTCTGGAAGTCGCACAGCTTCTCATTGCTGCGCGCCAAGTTCAGGTAGCCTTCTGTCAGGTAGTCTGGGTCCTCCATTTCTCTGGCTGTGTCGATTTGATCTAGAGCGTACTGCAAAGAGAGTTAGGAAAACTCGTAGGCAAATTGTGAATCAATAAAAACAAAGATACTGAATAAAAGATACATTATATGATGCATTTATTGAAAGATGTTGGGCCTCTACTTTCTAAAGTCCTCATTAAAGCGAAGTAACAGAGAGTGGGTACTGCTTGAGTAAAGATGGCTATGTCAACAAGACACCCCACACTGGTACTCGGGTTGCAGGACACTTATTTACTCTGCATCGTGTGGAAGCCACAAATTAACCCATGCTTCTTCACTTCTCCTTCAATTGTCACTTAATTATTGTAGAAATGTACTACAGCACAAACTGTACCAGACGTTGTGAAATATAAAATCGATAGGATAGTCAGTGGCACACACACACACACACACACAGCGCTGTTTGCATAACACAAAATATGATCACACTGTAGTGAAAATGTGTTTGTCTTGACACGAATTATCAAAACCAAATGACAACACTTGACATTTAGAGCAGGACAGACCATATATATATATATATATGTACATTTGTTTGACTACAGTAAGTGTAAGTAGCATAACTGTTCTTTGGAGGCTTACCTTGAGCATATCTTTATATTTTCCCATTTCTGAGTGAGCCGTGATCAGGCACCCTAACACCCGAAACTTCCCTCCAGGATCTGAGGTCTTCTCCAGCACTTTTGTCCAGACATGCAGGGCTTTGTCTGTCTGATTGGACTGATACAACCTCAGGCCCTTCTCTATCTGCTGCTTGGTTTGGTCCTGGCCCATCTCTGGTGCAAGGCGCCTCATAAAAATATTCATTCGTTTAGGCCATGCAATTTCAGTGAGGCAGCAAGAAAGTAGATCCTTGCCATGCACAGAACAACTCCAAAGAAGATCCCTTGAAGATGATCCCTCAGGAGGTCGCTGCCAGCAGGCCTACCAGATCCCGCTCTCTCAGCTCCGGCTGTGCTGAGATGGAGAGGAAACTGAATCCACCCAAGTAAAACGGCAACGCACCAAGACCATTATCGCCAGTCGCTTCTAGGAGAGCTGCAGGGCCAGAAAAGAACCGTCCCCATTCAACCCTGCAACGATCCCCTCTCACCATCAAGTGGTACAAAATTCTCCGTGAGATTTGCGTTTGAAAAATGCCAAAGAAACACGTTTCCCGACAGAGTGCTAGCAGTGATATCCCAGAATATCTGCTCCCTCCACACCCCAGCAAAAGGAATTCTCAACACCCCCGTGTC